ATGTGTATAAGAGACAGATATATATATATATATATATATATATATACAAGGCATGATGCATGGCAAATAACAGGTATCCATATGATAAGTGTGTGGGGGTGTGTGTGTGTGTTTGTATGTATTTAATGGAACTTAGGTGATGAGCACTTTGGCCAAGACTTTGATCTATCAAGGATTTCCACCACCGATTTCGACCATGATCAATTGTTTTCACTTGAATTGATCATATCGATGCCACAAATTGCATCAACATAAGGGCGTTGGCTTTGGCAAACTTTAATTTGTCGGTACGTCATTGTGTATCGATTTTACGCAGCGGTTCGTTTTAAGTCCACACTGCAGACAATTATTACCCACGGTGTACACTATTAATGCTCTAATAACTACCTTAATAGGTGTTCAGCCATAAACTAAAATATAATTTATTGTTGATAAACCTTTTATTTGGGTATTGTGGTGTCGTTTCACATCGGTACGTGAGATATTTCTTTTAAATTCTTCGGAAGCAAATAAACTATATTTAGCACAATTGACGTCAGTATTCTATGTGGTTTTATTGGATAGTCTGTGATTAAAATTCTTGAATCGAATGGTAAATGGTATTGACATTAAACATATGCTTATTTCATTTGATGTAGGCAATTAAAGAAATAAATTATTGAAACATTTTGCTAGAAATATAACAATCAAGTTGTTATAATTTCAGTTCTGGTCATCATTATGTAACCAAATATAATAAAAAGAAATGTATGTCTAAAGACTAGAGTCTAAGTAACACTGTAATATAATAATAATATAATAAATTTATTTTTATATAGCACAGAATGCTATAAACCTCTATGCGCTTTACATTAAAACCAAAAGCCAGAACAGAATTAAAAGAAAAGATGATTAAAACAGAGAGCGAAAATCTTTAGCAATCAAACAAAAAACAGGTTAATTTTATGATTAATTTTTATATATCCAAACTGTAATGAAAACTATGGTACTTTATACGTCTTTATTTTTATTTTTTTATATATATCTATCAAAAAAGATTGTTAAGACCGTGCAGTTAAGGCAGGGCGTTTTCTCGGAGAAGGACTATAAACCGTCAACTCAGCGCAGTGTACACAGGTTGGCTCATGTGTACTTCAAAGAAACCATCACATCTTTTGAGGCGAGTATGGGGTTATCCCTGGTGCATACAGCCCCTGTTGTGGACAGGCGATAGTTAGCTGGTACCGGTTTACCGTGAAGTTCAGACACGAAGAGGCTCTTAAGGGAGATGCAATTTACTGTAAGTCTGCACCACGAACGCTGTTAGTGAATTTCGGTGTAGAGCGCTATATAAATATAACTACATTTCATTTACATCTAAATATCGGGCAAACAGCATTCCCGCTCATGAATCTGGTGATGGGATAAAGACTATAATTGGACTATATATTGGAGTGTAGGCCTACACAGACACCGTGTGCACTTTTAAGAACCATGAATATCTTCGAGAGTCTCATGTGACATGCCTAAGTATGGTCATGGTGACATCACATCATAATTATAGACACATCATGACTATATATGGACATACAGCAGTTTTTTTTTTGTTTTTTTTGTTTTTTGTAAAATAAAATGTGATAGTGTGGATGGCCAGTGCTTGAGGGCTACTCTGGTGTTTTGGTAAAGCCAATGGCGTGAACCTGACAGACTGCACCTGATACGATTGGTCCTTTAGGTGAGTAACAAGGAATTAGACCTGAGATCAGTAAAATACTAACAAACCCCTATTGTTAACAACACGTTTATTTTGCAAAGCACCATACACCATAATAGTTGTCAATGCAAATAATATAAAACTGCACAATGAGTTGCGAATTTGATAAAAAAATAGTTCATTCGTCGTAACAACTGAGCATAATGTAATTAAATGAACCTAACCGTAACACATCGTAATGTAAATATTATTCTGAATGTCCTAATTCATCATAT